CTCTTCCGAAACTAATATGCATACATGTATAGTAACTTTTTTTTAAAAGAAATCATAGTTATTTATAATTTTGAAAAAAATCCATCTCAAGTCAAGTAGGATTTTTGTTGTTGTTGACAATAATCAAGTAGAATTTTTAGGAAAAAAAATCTCTATAGTTATTTGATTTTAGTCGCACATTTATTCCAATTAAACGTGTAATTATAGTACTGATATATAAAGATTTATACTAATATATAAAACAAATGTTTATTTTTATAACTATTTTTTATCTTTGTATATTTTGGATCATCACAATCTTAATTATTAAAAGAAAAAATTAATTTTTTAATAATTATTATTGACCAACTTTTTAAATAATCATCTATTCCATTATATTTTCTCTGTTTATAATAAAAAAGAGAAAAAAGTTTGAAAATTAATAAACAATATAAAGAAAAGAGAGAAATAATTATGTTATATAATTAGTTGTAAGTATTTTAATTTATCACAATAATCAAACTCAATATTAAATATTTAAAACAATTTATGAATACACAACACAACCAATTGAATCATATTCTTTTAATAAATTTTTGTATGATATTTTTTTTATTAAAAATTATAATAATAATAATATTAGAATTTGATTATATGATTTTGTACATACTTCAATCTTACCGTTAAGATACGTGTATAATATCTCTTAATTATATATGCGTAATTTTTATTAAAATATTTCCTATGCTAGTTCTTTAATTGTTTTTGATTAAACGAACGTCGGTTTGCTTGACATAAATAATAACCGTGTCATGTGATACATAGATTATTCAGTTGATTAACTAAAGGAATTCGTTGTGACATGTGTGAGGTTAAAATAACTTCAAGCATGTGGTTTAGCGGTAGAGGTTGATCCATGCTTAAGCAAGGTCAGGGATTCGAAACCTGTCTTGTATATGCATCCGCGTTAAATATTGGGGCTAATTATCCCACCTTTTGAGGTGCCTCTAACCTAGCAAGGAGATTAGTCACTGTTATCGACCATCTTTTGAGGTACCTCCAATCTAGCAAGGAGATTAGTCACTGTTATCGACCACCCTTTGAGGTACCTCCAACCTAGCGAGAAGATTAGTCACTGCTATCAACCCTGGATACTCCAAGGACGAACAAAAAAAAATGTGTGAGGTTAAAATACATGATTTATAGTTTTTTCTAATCTAATTAAATTATTTAATTCATTTTAATCTTATGTCATATTGAGGATTTCTAATACATAATTAGTACGTATCATGTGTATATATTTTAATTTAAGAAAAAATATAAATGCAACTATAAAAAAAAATCAAAAGTATAAGTAGATAAAAATTGAGATGACAAAAAACAAATCTATTAATATTAATTAAATTTTTTAAAGCTTAGATTAAAAAACTCGAATTTTAGTAGAAAACTTATTATATAAAGAGGAAAATTTTAAAATAAAATTATAATTTCAGGATTTAAAAAAAGTAATAAATAATGAGAAAATAGTGTATTATAAAGAAAATTAAAAAATAATAATAAGAATTTTTTTATTTTGAATATAAATAACAAATATTCAGATGAGACAATCATATTTAAGTTGAGTACAACTATTATGGGTTCTGACTATTTAAAACAAATTAATATAAAAAAATAATTTAAAAGTATTAAGGTGAAACAACTCTATACTATTAAAGTAATATGCTCAAAACCCCAAATGTGTGGTTCAGCGGTAGGGGTTGATCCATGTTTAAGCAAGGTCAGGGGTTCGAATCCTGCCTTGTGTATGCAGTCGCGTTAAATCTTGAGGCAGCTATCCCACCTTTTGAGGTGCCTCCAACGTAGCGAAGAGATTAGTCACTGCTGTCGGCCCTGGATACTCCAGGGACGAACCAAAAAAAAAAAGTAATATGCTCAATGACATTATGTAATGACTTGTTATAGTCCTTACATTAAATGACTCATCAACTAATAACAGATAATTAATAACTTAAATTTATATATTTATTGATATCTTAACATGTACTATATATCATTCATATGAAAGTAAAACAACTATACAAACATAAATGATATAAATACAATAATTAAATAAAAGTAAATTATATAATCTAAGTTGTTGATCAAATAACTTCTATTACCAATTAGCTAGTACAATCACATCTTAGAGTAATAACGTCAACATCACAACACATTCAACACTATCAACATATACATCACCAATCAACCAAGACAGAGAGCCTCATGTTGAAATGTCATCTAACATTTTGAAGGCGTGCCCGACGCAACATGATTTTTGCATTTATACAGATCATGAATTTTGTCCATCTCATCCCGAAACTTAGCCAAAATCACACATGCAACACTATATATAGTTTTTACTCAACAAAAGTAATTCAAATCCAACTAAAAAATCAACATGCAACAATGTTTCATAGAAAATCATCTCATTCTTCTTCATGAACCCAAAATCCCAACTTTCATTTGTAACCCACTCTGACTTGCTCAACACAGCCATGAATCTCAAAGGAATTCATACAACATATAACTCATACATTCTTATACAACTCAATTACTCAATCAAAAGCAAAAATCTAGCTTCCTTTGCCTTCAAAAAGTTCCCATGTGACTTCAAAAAGTTCCACACGACTACACTAGCTTGATTCTAGGTTCCTATAACCTGAATCAATATCAATATATACAACACAATATGAGGTTAAAGGAAAAATTAGAGAAAAGTTAGAGGGAAAGGAAACTCATAGATTAGAATCATTTTCTATATAATTCCTCTCTCTAGGTTTCTAGAGACTTAAACTTAATTATGAAACTTAATTCAAAATAAAGATCTTATATTTTTTTTCCTCTTAAAGTCAAATTGGATCTCTGTTAAAAGAAACTCACAAAATTACCTAAACTTATAAAAAATTCTTAAATTAAATAAAATCTACAACAACAATTTAATACTCACGATATTACACATCAAGACATGCTTTGATATTTAAAAATAAAAGTTAAATTTACAACATTTTATTAGTAACAGTTAAATCAAATAAGAGAAAATATGTTATCGTTATTATCAAATAATGGTGAAACCAAGTATATTAAAAATAAAATATAATGAAATATGTCGACATTATTCATAACGGAGATTCAATTTATTATATATGAATCCATAATATAGAAAAAAAATTCTAAAACTAATGAGAAAATTATGAAAGTAAATTATATGAAACAATACACATTAATTATACGTACACATATATA